TACCTGCAATTTTGCACCGTGTACGTTTTCATGTTGGATCAACGTTACCGAAAATTGAATGAATCTTGGGATTCTTCCGGCAGCAGCAAATTTTTGCCGTCTCGGAAAATGAAGGTAGCGCTTTTGAAGACTGTATCAGACGCAGATCCCGATGGGTTCCTTCCATCGTGAACATCAGAAAGTGTGCGACTCACCAATTTTTTTCTAATACATGTACTGTAACTGGATCGGAACTACATTTTCGTATGGTGTCACTCCTGATTTTGGAAGGGCAAAAATCGTGTTTCAGGGTTTTCCCGTCACTTCCTCTCCTTGATTTCAATCTTCTGAGCCCATTCCAGAAAATTCCAAGAAGCTTCCGTTTTATTTTTAATGGCCCTGTACGAAATTATTTCACTTAGATTGACGAATATTCCAGATTTCAATACAGTTAAATCTTCACGTGCTGCCAGCAGACCGATTTTGTGGGTCCAAAAGCTAGCGAAGCATCCTATACAAATCGATTCAATCAGTCGTCCTAATTCTCTTAAATTTTGATTTAATTAAAGAATCAATTTATCCCGGAACACTTCGGAAGAGTGGTGATTCGGACCGAAGAAGTAATCAACTCATTTGAATCTTCGATAAAAAAATGTTCTTCGGCAAGAAATTTCAGCACACCTTGAAATGCCAGCCACACGCCGAAGTTTTACTTTAAGAACAAGGAGTGTACTGAAAAATCGCCTTAAAGTTCTTCACAAAAAATTATCAAACATCTAAAGTATATTCGTGTAAGCTGATGCAATTAATTTCGATTCGCTAACCTTGCTAAAAGTATTCATGTGATCATGTCCGCGCGGGATACACTCAAACCATCTCATTTGAGATTTAATTTGAATTTTTCCGCCGCCGGAGTTCCCGTGTCTCTGCGACACCGTTTCATCGCTGACGTCACGGGATCGTTTCACTGAGCCAGGGAGGAAATGAAAGTAAATAAGAGCGTCACGATCAGGACCGGGGAAATTGCTCGAGAAGGGCTGTCGTGCGTAGTTCCGGTCGGGTATTGCGACGACCGCGGGTCCTCGTTTTTAAACGGCCCTTCACCCCGGGTTTCGCAGCGAGGAGGAAAATCTGCGCTTTTCTGCGGAACCACCCGCGTTTTCCCGAAGCGCTATTTATCGATTGGCGCAAACGTACCTCCGGAGCCGGTGCCCCTCCGTCAAGCATCCCATCCGCAACCCTAACGTACACACGCGAAAAAAGCGGATGTTGTGCATAAGTTGAACCGCTTATTCCCCCCTCGCGTGACTGGGGGAAGCTCTGAAAGGGATCTGAATTTCGGTACTTCCCGCCTACCGTATTTCCTCGAATATAGACCTCGCTTTTCCTCGTGAAAAGTTGAGCCGAAAATGCCGTTTTGGCTTAGGCTCAAAGTACAATAAAGTACAGTATTTCAAAGTATGCTGCTCTGAATTACGAAATGCGACCAATTTTTTTTCCTTTGTGACTTGGATTTCAAGACTCTCTTGAGTGTGCATGTCTGTCGCCGAAGCATTGACAGACCGACTGAAATTCCTACTTTAATCCCTATATTTTCCGCGTTTTTTTAATTACTGCAGATTTTTCTTTTCTAGATGACTACCGGAAATCAGGGTACGGCAGAACTGTAAGCCATCGTTTAGACTAGAGAATAATGTACCACCGTGAACAAAATTCTAGCGTACTTGCGCCATAACGTTTTGATGATGTCCCAAAAAATAGCAGTGCTGGCTTGTACAGTCATCACCAATTTGCATCATCAGCAAGAAAATTTCATTCTTAAATTCAGTCAAAAAACTAGGACCGTTTTCCGGACGTGAAAAATGTATCCGAAAACCTCAAGTTTCTTACACAAACTCAGGTGCTGATACGCAACTAAAAATATGGCCTAGCATTTTATTTTGTAAGGATTTTTGTATTAGTTGATGTAGGATATCGATTGGTCTTGTTTTGAGATTAGCGTTTCTTTTCCGTTCTTCGCGAAGAAAGAACGATAAATATCGAATTGATAGAGAACATCTGTTGCAAAAACCAGTGGAGCTATCATAAGAGGATAGTAGAAATAACACGTAGGTAGCTTTGATGATTTGTTTGTGCCCTGTCTAAACACTGAAGGATTCTCTCTCTCTATTCTGCGGATGTCAAAGGCACCTGATTGAGCTCTAAACCCAATCCCGAGGCCCACGACAGTGGTACTTCGACAGTTCTGTCATATGAATCATGGTCTTATTTTTTTTTATAATTATTGACAGTGGTAATTCAATAAACGACGTGAGAATGAGGCTGTTGACGAGTCTGTGCGAGCTTTGTCAGTTGCGATACAAGCTTTCCACTGTGAGCCTCTTCATACAAGGACTCACGTTGTTGGATTGAATGGAACATGATTTACGTGGAATGCCTGTCGCAATTAGTCCCGCCTTCATTACCACGCGTCTGCTATTGATAAGGTTCCATGGAAACAATTAATCATGTCTCAAATCAACGTCTTGTCTCGGCGGCAAATTAATTATTTAAGCACTGATTGCTTTACGATCGACTGCGGAGTTCGATGTTGGTCCGTGGTACAGTTCGCTCGCAGCGTTTCTAAAAAAAATCGCAATTAGAAAAATATGAAGTTGATTGCATACCGATTCACTGCTCACGAATAAACGTTTTTGCGAATATTTATTTCATCGTTTTTTTTCTTACTTGGCGTGCGAAATTTCAAGGGTCGTATTATATATTTGCGTACAAAATGCTGGCGCAGTGTTTGTGCAAAATGTGCACCCAATCTTATCAATTAATTAAGAATTTCTCGATCCCTGACGATCAGTTGAAAGCATGATATTGATTCAATACCGAAGACTGATAATTTGACGAGTAAATCTCCGGAAACATGTCGCAAACTTTTCTTTCCGCAGTTTTTGCATTCATTTTTTTTTTAATTAGCGTAGAAGCAATTGACTCATTTCCATCGAAAATTGTTAGTTTCTGGAGTACTGCAACAACCAGCAGTCGTTCGGTTTGTCTTCAGAATGATTTCCTGCAAATGTGACCCGTCGAGGAATTTTTTTTTATTACTCGAGGGTTTTCGGGCGTTATCTAAAAAGCTCTCCTTGCATAGTTTACGATTTAAGACATTCCGGAGCGCGTTTTTAAGGTGTCCGCGTAGGCGAGGAAACCCTGGGACCTGAGCACGTTTTCCCAGGTCACCGGGGTCAAACTACGCGCGAGGCAAATAAGCGCCTTGCGGGAAAACGTTTCCGCTTGTGTTGCCCCTGAGGCGGATCTCGCATTGCTCTGCCTTTTCCTGAAAGTCAGTCCGGTCTCCCTTTGTCTTATCCTGATTATCGCTTTCGTCATCCGAGCCTTTGCGTAATTATTTAATGTCTCGATTTAACCGTCGCTGATCGGCGGAGAAAGTTGTAAGCAGATACATTTTCAGCGGGTTTACCTGTTCACTGCATAAAAGCATAGATAATGGGGTACTGCATTCTACAATTGGGTTTTACAATATCTACGGAACTGAGGGGAACATGATAAAAAATGAAGGGCGGATTAATTTTTGAAGTGTTTTGTGTTCTGATTTTTCTTTTCCTCTTTCTGTTGAGCAGCTGCGTTTTACCAAGATTTTTTCGAAAAAATGTGCGATTTCCACTTCATGCAAACAAATTAACCGGCCTTCAGGAGGATTCTGAAATTAACGCTCGATTTCCTGGACAAATTATTGTCACTGCAGTTTTTCATAAGCGGATTTGAAATCTTTTTTGTCGTATGGGAAGCAGCCACTCGAAATATTTGAGCATGTGGTTGAAGCGGTTTTGATGTCCCAATTTTTTTGTTGGATTTACCGACAATTGTAACTTAAAAGTTTGTAAGAGTGCGAATCGGTCTTTTTATTGATTTTGAAGTCTGTGTGTCTCTCTCTCTCTAACCTAAAATGTATTGGTTTATCGAAGTGATTTAAAAACTGTACTCATTTTCCGTGGACAAGGACCCTTGGCCTCATTAGTGGGGTGATTCGTGTTCAGGTTAATACAGTACAATACACCTATTCCAATGGGGGTTATTTTCATGTCTATCGAGCATCTTGCGCGTTAATTGAGAAGTTTTTATTAGATTTATGTAAGCTTTGGTCTGTGGATGTTTCCAGAGTCTGCCAGATACTGAGAACAATTTGATCAGGGCCATATTTCTTGAATTGACGAAGGTGCGATGTACTGTAATTGAATCGAGGTGTCCTCGATATTTTTGGGTTACACGAGACTAATTGTTCAATTGTTTTGAGGTCGATTCTATACTGTCAAGGACGTGTTCGTGATTGGGGCCGAGATTAGGTGGTGCTGAAGTTTTTAATAGTTTGTTCATTCTTCGTGTTGCTGAAACTGAAAAATAACTCATTATCAGTGCTAAGTACATGAGTTCTTCGCCAGGATAATCAAATCATGGATAATCGCCTGATGTTGTTATGAATTTTCTATGGAAAACGATCCGGAATAATCTGAAATTATTACCAGTGTTTCCCTAAATTTCAGAATTGCCCGATTGGTCAATCTACGTGAAATAATGTGGTTATACTCGAGATTATAAATCGCAGTGTGCTGACGACTCCGTTTATTCTCCGTAAATCGAATTTTGAGCGCAGGTATTCGGAGTTCTGTTTGCAATTGACATTTATCATAATCAAGACGTGAAAAAAATTCAGTATGACTTTACACGAGATCCCAAAATTTTCGCAAATCTCGGACTGTATTATTCTGTGCTGTTGCCCGATTTGCTTTCTCTCGGTGGAAACGGATCCATGCGCGGGATTCCGGAGTTCTTGTGCATTCAGCATGTTCCATTGGATTACATATATTGGAAATTTTTTCAGATCCTTATGAAGAAGAAAAAAAGTGTACCGCGTGTTGGAGTTTGATTTGTGAACGGAGGCTCGATTGGTGCTGACGGACCCTTTCCTTTTTTCCGTCCTCTCTCTGCCCTTATGTTTAGTTCGCTGCGAGATGTCCTCGAAAAACTACCTGCTGAAATGGAGGAACCACCCAAACAGTTTCATGGAAGTCCTGGACTACCTGCACGCGGAGGAGTTGTTCATCGACGTGACGTTGGCCTGCGATGGCGACCGATTCGGGGCGCACAAGGTGGTGCTCTGCGCTTGCAGCCCCTACTTCCAGCGCCTCCTGGCGGAGAACCCCTGCAAGCATCCGATCATTTTGCTGAAGGGCGTCAAGAGTGAAGAGATGAAGGCGCTTGTCGAGTTCATGTACAAGGGCGAGCTGTGTGTCGGTCAGCGTGACTTGTATTCGCTGCTCAAGACGGCCGAGAGCCTCCAGATCCGGGGGCTGAGCGAGTACTCGTTTTCCGGCGCCGATGCCGCCGAAACCATCTATGATGACGTGTCGGCGAGCAGTGACGACGTTGGCACTATCCGTCAGGTAACAAATTTACCCTTTTCTAGCGCGAACACTTGAGTGAAAGGAACCGCGAGTGGTGTTTCCCGGGGCTCCGCAATCTTTCATATGTCTGTAAAAAAAAATAGGAGACGCAAAAGATATGTTAAAACTACTGTCTCTTGATCCAGGTAAAGGCCCCAGAATATTTTGTGTGATGAGAGAAATTAATCGCGAATATTCGTCGTTGTTGAAAAAACTGTAAAGTCACCGTTTTTACGTATGTTGTCCGGCTGTCAATCAAATAAAATATGCATCAAGTTCTACAAAACACTAAGATAGAATATATATATATATTATTTATGTATGCGTCAGATAGAAACAAATGGATTCATTTTCAAGAGAGACTTCCAAAATGTGCGCAAGGAAGTTTCTCTGAGAATGTATGCTGCAATAGTTCACAAGATTCTGATTCTTTCTAGGACATGCTTGTGGCTTTTATAAATTATGGACAAATATCTTTTGAACAATAGGGGAATCATTTCTTGGAGAGGAAATGATTCCTGAGATATGATTTGGAGGTTATTCCTCCTGAGAGAATGTTTTTATGCAAAACAGGATTTCGCAAATTACCAGAGACTGTAGAGCCTGACAAACACACTTTCAAGTACTGTATATCCAAAAATGTTTGGCAATTTTCGTGAAGAGAACCGTATATAGGGAAATTGCTCCTGAAACTTGAAAGGAGTTCCGGTCTAGTAAATAGCTCAGTAATTTTGTTTTGTTACAGATCTTTCCAAGCGTATCATTTTGCTTTTAACAGCAAAAAAAACCTTTCAGCAGGAAAATCTTTGTCGAATATCAGACCCTTTTCTAGTGCAAACGTTGAGTAAAAGGAACCAGGAGTGGTGTGCCCCCGGGGTTCCGCAACCACTCGTTCACGTGCAGGATAATACCTTGCAAAAAAAAAAAACCTTTCAGGAAATTATTGATGGCGAACATAGCCGTTTCTGTATTAAATACAGAACAGTGGTTAAAATAAATGCGAGACACGAAAGATACGTCAGGACCATTATCATGATCCAAGTGAAGAGACCCAGAATATTTTCCCCGATGAGCGAAATTCATCGCGAATATTCATCCTGCGCGGAAAATACTGTACATGATGAATCTGTGATGCAGGATAAGAATATTCTCGCGAAAGATATGGATTGTAGACTCACATCAAGTTGAGAAGTTCCTCTAGAGCAAAATCCCCACAAGATTCGGGACATGGCTTCGTGTGATGAAAATTACGGATTATCGGATTAAAATTCCGATCGCCCTTTAATTGATCGCAGACTAATGTACGAAGTCACGATTTATTTTGGAAAAGTTGCTGCGACAAAGATGAAATACTTTCGCTGATGATTTGACAGGACATCCACTCAGCCTAGAACGGACGTTTAGAGCTTCTGCCGAATGCACTTGAGAAAAACGTGAGACTGGGAATACTTAGTCGCAAAAATTTGTCATCGACGGTTAACGATGATCGCTCAATTGCCTACATCATTTGATGCATAACAACAAGCTGCCTCTTCGCACCTGCGTCGATTACCTTGATACATACATTTCCCTGATTAACTTATACAGTATTATGAATCCCCAGAAGCAGGAGGATCTTCACATGACCCAAAATTAAAAGCGAAGCGCAATTGTAATGGAAATATCTTTGCTGGTGAATTCATGTTGACGATTTAATCTTCAGCCATATTCTCCGACCTGCAAATTACAGTATGTCTTTCTTGAAGAGATTTATCAATTTACTCGGTATGCCGGTCCGTTCGTTTCAGGGCTTTTTAATTTGTATACAGTATAAATAAACCACTTACGCGAACTGTCAATATTCGCTGACGACCTCTGGATGCAACACCTAAGGCACGACAGAAACTTCATCTATTTTATTAGGTTCATTAAAGATTCTAAAAGATGCAGATCCAACTTTTTTTCTTTTTAATTCTGAAGGTATTTGGGAAATAGTATGCCAGGGTATCCTTGGTGCGTGGACAATTTTGCGGTTAATCAAAATTATTATTATTGATGAATGCATTATTTCTGGTAGCAATAATGTATGTATACTATTATTCCTACCTGAAATGATACAAACTTGGTCAGTTCAGCTGCAATGATGAATGGTTTTGCTCAGGTCCCGCTGCGTCGCACACTGAAGAAGCCCGTGAGTGAGAGTTTCCTGTCTTCCTCTGGGACGGCGAAGCGGCAGCGGCCGCCATCACCGACGGATGGCGCCACTGCCGGCGCCGGTCTGAGCAACGGCTACAACACCGCCGCCAGTCCGTCATGCTCTTCGTCCACGCCCGGCGTCCAATCCACATCCAAGTGTGGCAGCAGCGCGTCACCGACAGCCCACTCGACCGACTCGGGCGACCAACCCGTGCCGGACTCGATTTCGGGCGGACGTGACGCTCGACCGCCACCGCCGTTGCCGGCGCCACCGGATGGACGCCGGTTCGAAACTCCGGTCGATTTTGCGCAGGACAAGCCGCAGAACCTGTCTATGGAACGGGACCAGAGCCGGGACATGGACACTGACAACGACAGCCACAAAAGCCCGTCTCCACCGCAGTCGACGGCCGAGACCTCGTCACCAGCCTTCCCGTCATCCGCGTCCGAGCCGCCGCCACCCAGCACTCAAGTTATTATTCACGAAATTTCTAATTTTTTTTTCATCACTGGAAAGAAAAGCTGCCCAAATTACCGTTTTTACTCGAGTACCACGCGCACCATATTTTTCAGTTGAACATTTTTATGAAATCAAAGCCCCGAGGAAGTGGCGCACCCCATGTTTCGTGACTCTAAAACCAAAATATTCCAAAAACTAGAGCACCCAAATTTGAATTTATACATGAAAATTAAACATTAATTGAACTAATTTTCAATAACGTTTTTCAGTTGAACTTGATCCAAAACTTATCATTAAAATCGCGTAAAACACACAACTTAATTTCTAAAACTTATCGAATAATTTTTTTTCTTTTCAAATCCACTGGGCCTCCTCTTTTCTTCTCTCAAATTTGAGAAAATTGGTGCGCGTGGTGCTCTAGTAAATACTGTACGATATTCAATTTTAACGTGCAGTTTTTTACTCCAATTTCTCGGTTTTATTTTTCCTCAAGTCGATGAACTTCAAACCCACATTTATGAATCAATTGTACTGATGCTGTTTGTTTATCCAACGCTGTAGTTGCCCGGTGGTATGCCGCCAGTGCCATCAACGTCATCGCCGTATCTGCTGACACCACAAGAGCCGGTCTGGCCCCACGAACCAGTATGTCCACCAGGAGTTCCCACATTCCCGCACACGAATAGTGTGTATGCAGAACATCTGCGCCAACACTTTGCTCAGAATGTAAGTATGCTGTCTGCAGAAAGCGATTTTCTACTATTTTCAACATCCCCTATAACGTTTCGAGTTTTTTTTCTTGAATTAACCAGCACAGCGTTATTCGTGGAATGTCCCGAATTATGGAAAGGAACCGTTTATTTATTTTTGCTGCACATCAGATGAGCATGTAATGAACTAGCGAGTACTGGAGGACGAACAGTGTAATAACGAGTCTCGAAAATATGTGTTTGGCGATTGACATCATTTTTTTGCGCTTTCCTCTATGGACAATACTTTTCTTTGATTGCATTTTTAGGCTTCTTCGTGTACTCATTTGGAATTGGTTTTTATAGTATATTATCGTTATTTGTTTAATATCGAATAATGGGTAGAGAATTCCGTGTCCTAGGAGTTCTCTACGATGAATTCTCTGTACAACGAATTTTTTCATGGTCCCTTGAATTTCGTTGTGGAGAGAGTCCACCAGTAATACTGTAATTTCTAGCAGAGTACTGTGTAGTGTGTGAAATAAACCTACAGTGGCGCGTTTATCAGCCATGCGTCGGAGGTGTCGCTTTATCTTGCTTTCAAGGTGGTAAACTCGAGAAATAAATGTGGAAAAAAAAAGAGAGATGAGGGAAGGGTTTTGACTTTCTTCTGTTTCGACTCCCCGAAGCAGTTTGACGTGATGTACCGGTTGCTGCGGGACCGAAGCAAAGACATGGAGGGCTACCATCATTGCATCTTCTGCGGGAAGCAGATCCGGGACGCCAGCAACTTCAAGAAGCACCTGCGGACGCACACTGGTGAGAAGCCGTATCCGTGTCGGGTGTGTGGACGCGCGTTTTCGCGCTCGGAGAACCTCAAGATGCACTTGCGCAACCGCCACCCGGCCGCCGTTCTCATGCAACAGCAGCAGCAACAACAGGGCGGCGGCGGAGGTGGCGTCGGTTTGACGCTACCGCCTCCACCGCCACCACCACAACTGCCGGGTGTGGGGGACAGGCCGGGCTTGTCTCCGTCGCCCGGTGGACTGCTCGGGCCGCCGTTCACGTCCGCTTCGCCGCCACGGATGTCGCCGGGCGCCGGGATGCACCTTTTGAGGTCCACACCACCGCCACCACTCGGGCCGGCTGGGTTCCCTGCCAGGTCGCCGACGAACCTGTCGCCGCCCTCCGCCTGAGAACGCCACCGTCTGCCTGTCTGCTGTGAACGCCGTTCCCTTTCACCTTGCTCCTCCTGAACGACCTCAACCCTTCTCGTCCTTCAAGTCATCACAACTACGATTCTGCCTCCGATCTGCACTTCTCTCGAACCCAAACGCGAGAAATTTCTTCTGAAGACCTTTCCGGCTTTCCATTCTTCTTCTTTATTTTTTCTTTATAAAAATAGCTTCCATATCTTTCGAATTTAAACGCGTAAAATTAAAGTTTCATTCGAAAACTGTTCTGCGGTTCCAGAACAATTTTTTTTGCAATGGAACTGTCGAATTCTGCTTAAAAAAACTTCCCTCTCATGAATTTCTCGCAGTTCCGTGGAATTATCTTGCAGCCGTTTTGTTGTTGAAAATATTTTAAAATCCCTTCCATTTCTGTCGAAGTCGAAAACCTAAAATTAGATTTAATGTTCAGGTGTCGGACGATTCCCTAGGAAAATGTTTCATGTCATGCATTTTCTATTCTGTCCTGAAAAGCTTTCATCTCCTTGAAATCTTTGCGTAAAATCCAAATTTCTGCTGGAGACGTTTTCGACGGTTTCGCGAAAGAGAATGTTGATACTCCTCTCGAAATTTGCAAGCAAACACTTTTCTAAATTTCCTAAAGTTTCTTGCTGCAAAGCTGTTTTACGGTTCCCCAGAAAAATCTTCCGAATCTTGTGGAAAATGTTAAACGCTGTCCGTCTTTTTTTTCTGAAATCGCGCTGGTTTCGAGAGAATTGCTCTTGGGGGAAATCGCGATGCCTCGCCCTTGAAAGAAAGGAAGAAAAAAAAAGAAAAGAAAACGCCCGGGCTAACTTTCTACTGTTTCACACCAGTGTGACCTAAGTTCGGTGTCCCATGATGAGGAGATTGCTACACAAATGATGGGATACATGTCAATTTTTATTTTTTTACGGTGCGGGTCAAAGTGTTCAAACGCAAAGCTGCGTCCGAGCCGCGGGATGCGAAGGTGCGGAATATTTATTTCCTGCGGCTTGGGTCGCGCAACTGGGTGACGGGTGTGCAGAAACAGCTTACCTAAACTCCCTGCAAGGGCATGCGTCGAGAAAATTTTAATTGGTTTTGTTTTAGTTTCCTTTTTATTTTTAAAATTTTGCTTCTCACCCGTCTGGGAGCCCTGCCTAGATCTCAAACTATGTTCATTCGGACATTTTTGTTTGGTCCCGTTTGGATAAGCGAAATCAAACTTCTCAAGTCCTGGGAGTCGTCAGTGGATGTACAATGTGCCTTCAGCCTCTCCAAGGGAAGGGAAAGTGACATGAGTTGAGATGAAGTCTCTGTGTCCTATGCTCTATTTTTTGCTTTTCTCGATGGCTGTTTCCTGTCTCGTGTGTCGTTGGGAGAAAAACTTTGCTCAAACAGAGGTGGGGAATTTGGCTTGTTTTGAATCAGCGCTGGAGGGAGATTTTCCCCCCACGTTCTTACTCGGTGTCCTGGGAAAGTTAGAAGGAACTGGCAGAGGTGGATTTTGGTGTCGGAAAATGGCCGAGGCAAGTGCGATGCGCGTCATCGTCGATGTCCTGGCCTGAGGCAGGTATGGAATGTTTTGGAAAAGGAGAGAAAGATAGATGGGTACGGAGGAGGGATTGGTGGTGAAGAAGAAGAAGAAAAAGAAAGAAGCGGAGAGAAAGAGAGATTTAGTTGGGAGGAGAATGGAAATGGAAGAAAAACAGAGATGGAAAAAGGATCGAGAAATGCCAGGGAGTGTCGGTTGTTCGAATTCATGAAAATACGGGTGGAACGTTGACTTGCGCTTCTGCGAAAAATTTTTCTTCTCTCGCATGACTGCAGACTATTCCCCGTTACATGAGCCATGAAGTATTCAGCAGTATGGAAAGTTGACCGTCATTTTGGACATCCCCCCCCAAAGGCTCTGGCTCGTCATGTGTTTAAGGCATTGTTTTTGCTGACTAGGTGTCGAAAACTACCTCCTGAAAAGCTGCCACCCAGCTTTCGCCCGATCGTGATTTATTTAGACTGCCGGCACCGCGCGTTATTGCGGATCGTTTTCAAAACTACCTCAGTGGGTCACTTGGCCTTCGTTTGTTTGCTGTTCGCTGCTGGGTGTCACTGCAACATCAAAAACTTGGCACATGTTTTGCTGTTGTCCCTAGGGCGGCTTATATAAATCGTGGAAAATTCTCGGGTTCGCTTTCCGCTTTGTGCAATAGCAATCTTGGTCCGCGTGGAAAGCGTGTGTGAATGTCAGCCGAAGCACAAAGTCTCAGGGATTAAAACTCGTCAGAAACGTGGGCAAAGAAAGCTGGTGAGGCTCGGAGCACGCGTTAAACGATCTTGGATTATGATGTTCGTTTCCTGCAATAAGGCTTTTTAGTTGCAATGGAAGTTATCTCCCTTCCCTGCCCACCACACATGGGCGTTTGTAGATTATCCCCCCCGAAGCCCCCGTCGTATTCGCTTGATGTGAGTTACAAAGAAAAAAAACATGTCCGGTGTCAATTTTTTATTGGAATTTTTTGTTGGAACGGTCTTCTCGCGAGGTCTCCTCCGAATTGTATCTACCAAAGGCCGCAATCGCAATGATGAGCCTGCTTCTTTCATGCTGGTCCTCGAACAACATTTCGAGGTTTCCTGTCTAGTTCCCTGCCGACGCGGAGGAACTTTGCTTTTCTGCGATGACGGAAGCAAGTCAAAGGTATCAGACGGGTGTGTCAATTTTTTTTTTTTTTTTTGAGAGAGGATAACGGAAAACCTATTGCGTGATTTTGAGCTGAATTGGTGGCCGGTGGTTTTTTGTGTTTGATTCATTTTGTAAACGCCTATCTTTCACTTCGGTTTTTTTTTGTTAATCATTTTATTTTTGAGGTTGAGTGATTGCAGCTGGGTGTGCCGGTTCCCCGATTCGAGAAAGATTTTCCGAACATTTTTCCCTCCATGACAGAAAAGCGAGGTATAGAGCGAATTCCGTGATAGTTGTTGTTCTTGGATTTACCGGGATTTACCGATTTTAGCTAAATAAGAATGCCTATTTAGCTGCGTGTATCCAGGCAGCTGCAAACTCGATTGGACGAAAAACCATTCATGGTCTTTGCTTCCGGGTGCTTTTTTTTTTTTTTTTCGTAGCACCGGAACAGAAAGAAAAGTTTGCGCACACGTTTTTTTCTTCTTTTTTTCAGTGTTTCCCTGCTTTTTGTCCCGCGGATGAGAATGGGAAAACGATTCGGTTTGGAAGATGAGCGCCGCTCGACTTTTCGGTTCTGAAAAGCGCCTGATTTGTAGCGTCTGTCGATTTGAAGCCGGGGTTTCGGTTGGGGTTTTTTTTTTCTGCTGCGGCGGCGAGTTTGTTTGAATTTTTGCTTTATATTTCCGGTGGAGAAATTTTTTGAAATCATTGAATGCGTGTGTGAGTGTGATGAAATTCTATCATGACGGGTGGGGAAAAATACGGGTCAATTCAAAATTTGTTTTTGTTTGTGGAGATGAAGATAGAGAGTGTAGTTTGTTCATCAGTTTTCTGGAACGGTTCCTTCGGAAAGAGTCGGTTCTCGGTCGGCATCCTTTACCACAGGCATTACTAAAGGAAAGGTATATTTCTGGAACAGAATGCTTTCGAGGAACCCCCAGGGAAGAGAGACTAAACTTGGGCCGCGTTGTTGGGCCGGAACCGGAATTGTCTCTGAGGCATGCGTGGGTCGACTGATTGTAATTACGCCTTCCGTCTCTCGCTTATCGTTTCAGTGCTTTTGCGTACTGTACTGTACTTGTCACGGCCGCGCTGCTGTGATGCTTGCTGGTTCGCAGTTTCGGAGAGGAATCAAAGCATGACGGAGTGCAGTCGGACGCTTTCTGCTCCGCTGGGTTTCGTTTCCGGTCCCCTGATTGCTCCTTGCCAGTCCTTGTGATCCCTCGCTGTGACTTTGATTTTTTTGTACATGAAGCACAATGCGCGCCGCAACTCCGGTCATGATTGGATTTTACTTCTGTGGTATTATTTTGGATTCGCGTGCATCTTCGGGGCTTGTGAGAACTGCTACTACCTCATCTCCTGGATCCGGGTGGGATGTTTATTGTATCGAGATGGGTTCCTGCGCGCGGATGCCAGAACTCTTATAGTGGGAACTGGAACCAGTTTTCGTTACCATGAGTGTGGGACGTTTCGGGCGCGTGTGCGATCTCTTGCCTGCGATAGTCTGCAGCCAAAAGTGTTTTTTTCTCCCGGCTCTGGGTTGTAAATCAGTCTTCTTCTATTGCTCCTGGTGTTGGCGACTGCGCAGTCACTGATGAAAAACCGTGTGCTGGCGCGTGCTGTACAATAAATTACACGTCGTTCATCCTCTGCGTGGTGGCGCCTGATGCCGTGCTGGTGGCGTCCCGAAATCCCCGCAAACTTCCGATCCATCTCCCTGTATCGTGTCCTACGTGCGTTTCATCATTTATTTTATTTTATTTTTTGAGCCATACAGGTTTACATGCAGGGAATTCTGCAGACCAGCGCAGGGGATCCCTTATTACGAAGGATCGCACTTATTGCCTGAAACTGCCCGAGGTTAATTTCTTTGGGCTCTTTAAAACAGGATCTGGTCTAAAAGCACGCTGTTTTCCGATTGAAGATGCTGCTTATATAGGAAGACGAACAAATGGAGGGAAGTCTGTGAAGGTGTTTTTTTTTTCGCGGTGTTCAATTGATTCATTGCTTGAGATACGCTTTAGGTGACCTGTAAGATTTAGGATTTTATCCCGTCTCTTTGTCCGTAGTTCGTGTAATTTTTTCTGAATGGGATTGTCAGATGGATTGGAATTTTGTAGAGAAGGAGTGACGCCATTCCAATCTCCGGTGGGGCGAAAGAAGACTGACCGCGCTCAATAACTCGGCTCGTCCGCAAAGAAGAAAAGATTTTTCGCGCCAGAGCCTCGTTTTCCGGTTTAGTTATTTTATTTTAAAATTATTTTCATTTAATTTCCTTTTTTTTCTGAAAACGTGATGGGATCTGACGTTCGGGTGT